GACGTGCAAGTATCAAACTTAGTCTTATTAATTTATACATTAAGTATCATTTGCACTTTTTTACAAAGGTGTGTTTGCACTAAGAAACTGATGTTTCCATCAGGCTGTAGATCTGCTGAATATCAAATTTTACCATTTCTTTATTTATTTTCTCTGTACTGCTTAAGCTTCAACACCTTTTCCTATGCCAACTGTATGCTTGTGTGTGTGTGTGTGTGTATGTTAGACTAGTTCAAGTGTTTACGTAGTTAATAAAGTCTTACTTGTATCACACTTGAGGTTGTTTATTGTTTTCTCATAACTGGAGTCCCTAATTATGCAGATTTTTGCTACATGCTCTGAGTAGTATTGTACAATAAGAAAGTTATTTTCCTTAAACGGAAAAGTAACGTTCTTAGAATTAACAGACAGTTGATACTTACAGCGGATCTATATATTTATAATAAATCATAACTAGTTATGAATGATTATTCATATTTCCCCTTTGAGCTGATTTGCTACAAGACTGTGTGCGCTACAGCTGAGCTATGCACACGGCCATCAGTACAATGGAGCGAGATGCTATCAAGCTGTCAATCGCGGCTAAAACAAAGCACCTACACTTGTCAATCCTCAGATCGAGAAGGCATTGTGGGAAAGTGTAACTGCAGGGGACGTGCACAGCCTTGTCACCGTTTAATAAGTGCAATCAAATGTTTATTGCACATTTAGTCATGAGGACTTCTGAGATCCTTTTTCGGCATCGAGTGAGGTCACCGTCTGAAACCCTGACTCCTCAGAAGTGGGGCCTGAGCATCAACACTCGCTGTCTGTGGCAGTCAACACCACTGACTTAATCTTCTTCTCCACAAACTTCTGGACAACCGCCTCAACGACGATGCCAAAAAGTCCAAAAGACGAAACCAGAGAAAATATATTTCCTTCTCTTTCAGCTCTGACAGATTAAGCCAGTTGCTGCTCTCTGGCTGTCATGGTTGCCACGGAGCGGCATCTCAAGCTTAATCTGTTAGGTTGTCAGTCAACATCCTTCAATAAATCGCATTAGTACGCCTGCAACACCGCCACACTTTCTAAATCTGCATTCTCTTATTTCTTTAACTTTCTTTTTTGAGCTTTCCCACACATACTATAGCACACACACACACACACACACACACACACACACACACACACAGACAGACACAGACAAACGGCCCCCTGAAGACAATGAAGCTGATGACCTGTTCTCCAGGCACCCCTGTGACGTCACCTGACTGCAGTAGCCAGTCAAGATGGGCATTTACCAAACATGCTTTAAACACCGGCTCACGATGAGTGTTCCCATAGAGTCAACATCATGACGCAGTGTTGAGTTCCACTTCAATAGGGAACTGAGGGAATTCCAAGGTATTTTATTACAAATTGGGTTACATATGTTATTTATTAATTTGCTGATGATTAATTAACAATTTAATGGCTGTAATAGAAATTATAAGCACAATTACATAAAATTACATCAATCAATCAATCAATCAATCAATCAATCGCCAGATCCTGTGTGACCTTGTTGAAGCAAGCAAGCATTTTTTATTGAATGAACAAAATTTGATACTTACTCTACAGACACAATAACTGCGTTGAGCTCTGTAACCATGTGCTTGGCTAGCAGATCATATGGGCCCATACCTAAGGTGAGAAGGAAAATATATATACTTTTGACTTTTATTTGATTAAGTCTCGAAGTGATGAAAATAGTACTCATGGATTCAAGCAAAATATATGTTACATGTTTTTACCATAGTAATAACAGTAAATTACGCATAATTACATGCAACTAACCCCAATCCTAACCCTACGTGCATGTTGTTAATTATTATTACTTATTACCGAAATGTATAATTACAATGTAACAAGGACACCTTAAAATAAACTGTAACCCCTTTAACCATCACTTTTTTATTTAAATATTAGAGACCAATAGCACTTTAAAGGAAGAGGGATTTTTAGAACAGAACTTTTCTACTGTTTATGTGCGTTCAAAGCAGTTTTCAATCTATGAAATATGACTGATATTTTTTGCAATACCTGACACACTTTTTTAGTCATACAAATAATCAGTCATCTACCGTTTATGATTTTTTATGTGTTAGGAAGCATACTGAAATAAACTCCAGGGTTTTCAGCAGATTTCTTCACCGGTGACTAATCTAAACACCTCTGATTAGCTGTTGCATTCATATACTCAACAGAAACATGTGTGATTGGCTGTAATGCTCAATGCTGCTGCTGCTGCTGCTGCAAAAAAGTACTCTTTGGTGCAGCATGAGCAGATATAAATGTAATGCTGCATTCAACACTTTTCATTTATTTTCATATTTCACTTTAATCTTGACAGTCATAGTCGATTTTGTTTAATTGTGCACCTAAATTTTTGCACCTGTATCTTGAATTCGGGGTGCATTTTTGTTCATTTTGGTCCCATTTTTGCCTCAAACTGCTGTTAATTTTCAACTCTGAACTGCAACAACCTCATGCATGGCTTCTCTGCAGTCTGATTGAACAGAAATCCCTCATAGTGATGGAGAACTTAAAACTTTGGCATTCCAGTGGCGAGCTTCATATAAACACATTTACCTTACCGTTAAGATATGAAAGCTAGAACACTCCATTATACAGCAGTGTGTGATTAATGGTACTCACGGGAGCTGCCAAGACACCATCCTCCTCCATGCAGGTATATGATGGCTCTTCTTAGCTCTCCTGTTTCTTGTTGCTGGGTTGGCTGATACACAATCACCTCTACCCCATCAAAATTCTCATCTGACACTTGCACCCTCTCATCTGACACAGGCACTACTCGCTCTGCAATGGTGATGAACATCATAACTTTCATGTAGTGCAACAGTCCCATCCGCTCACTCAGTTCTGCCTGTGAAGAGGGGAAAACAAAAATATACATTTAAACTGATGTTTCTGGGAGCTCCCAGTGGAAGTCACACGGTGCCTGGCTGCATTTTCTCAAAAAGGTTTTGAACAGGGCAGGCGCATGGTTGATCAGCTGAGATCATCTCACTAATAGCCAGAATCCCCTAATCATTTGCTTCAGTGGACAACAGCCCATTGTTAAGCCACTTGATGTTAAATGATGTTTACTCCAGTGATGTTCACAGTGTTCGAGTCAAGCCTTAAGTCTCTTGCCACCAGTTCTAGTTTAGTCTTCCATCTCCTTTGGTAATAGGTTAATTTTCTAAACCATGTAGTCTTGACCGTGGAGCAACTTTTAAATGCATCACTATACAAAAACATGAGGAGAGTTCTTCACATGAAAGACCCAGTGTAAATTCAACTGAACTGAAATATAGGACATTAACTGTAACAAGATGATTGACAGGCCAGTTTATGATGACAGGATGCATGTACCGTAATATGCAAAAGCACAGTCCATTATAAATGCAAATATGATGTAGTATGTCCCAAAACTAGCCAAATCTTCTGCTTCACACTCAACAGTACTTTTTCTTCAGAAAAGGAGAAGCCTATACTTTTGGGGCATAGTCTAAATGGGTGAGTTGGGATGCAGCATAAAACCCATACCCACACACTGTGTTATGTTGTCCAGTTGTTCAGCCATGTTTTATGTATGTATGTAGATATTTATGTATGCATGCATGTATTTATTTTCCCCAATTTGTTTGAAATTTAAAATAAAATGTTTCATATTTGCTTACCTTTTATAATGTTTAAAATGAAAGTTGGAGTCAGGATGATGAGGAATGGTTTAAAAATAATTAATTTCACACATTTTATTATAAATGTCATTTCAAAATGTAAACTGATGTCCTTATTTTTATTAGTGTTTTCACGCCAACCCACCAACTCACTCAGTAGTTGTAACAACAGTGATACTAATTTACACAGTTAATAAGATGGACAAAGATGTACATTCAAAAACAGCTGTAATTTGTAGTAGACAACCCTGTTGAAAAAACCAGCATATGCTGGTTAGGTATGTTTTGATGCTGGGATGCTGGTTTAAGATGGTCCTTTGCTGGTTTATGCTGGTCATTTGCTGGTTTAAACTGGTCCTTTGCTGGTTTAAGCTGGTCCTTTGCTGGTTTATGCTGGTTCTTTTTGCTGGTTTATGCTGGTCATGTGCTGGCAAAGGACCAGCAAAAGGACCAGCATAAACCAGCAAAGGACCATCTTAAACCAGCATCCCAGCGTCAAAACATACCTAACCAGCATATGCTGGTTTTTTCAACAGGGAAATTGAGGGGGGGCTGATATTCCAACGCTCCCCTATTTAAGGTGCATTTACACATGCATGTATTTAATTGGCATTTCCTGCTATAATATCCAGCTATTATTAGCCACAAAGATTATATAAAATACAATGCTCAGATTAAGAATTGACATAATCTCTAAACTGCAAATCTGCTGGTGTGGTGTCATGCCAAACAATCTAAACAAATAACCACACGTTTAACTGACCCGACAAATAGGCTACTACTGCGATTGGTTGCGTAATCACACTCTTTCATCAAGCCTGTCCAAAATAATAACGCGATACGAGATATAGGCTTATATGGCCATGACGTTGCAAATGCATGGCAATGTGCGTTAAACCGGCACAATACGTGTTAAAATACAAATGCAAGCAAAACTTACCAACTGGCTTAAACTTCTGAAGAAAGAGTCGGCGAGCATTAGTTTCCATCTCTCCTCTATGTTATTCGGGATTGGTGAATAAACGTAGTAAACTGTTAACGCGCCCAGTAACACAAACACTAACACTCCTTTAGACCGCATTATTTTGATAGTTTTGGATCTCGTCTGTGTCTTCTGTTCCGTTTTATGGTTTGTTGATTGTCTTTTCTCAAAAAGTCTTCGGCAATTGAAGCCTCCGTCAGCTGCGTTTATTAGTCATTCAGTTCTTTCTGTGTTAAAGTGTAATCCTGGATTAATTTTGGACTGGAGCCAGCGAGATATGACAACACGTGTTAGTGTCATCTGATCGTGATACTGTACGCCTGCATGTGGAAAGCTCTGCGCTTGAGCGCGCGTTGCTCTTCTTATCCGTTCTGCACCGTGTCTTGCGCAAAGAATACAGTGGAGTCGTAATGAAACGCAACTGGAGCTTCAGTGCATTACGCAGAGCTCTCAAATTCCTCAGATAACCTTGTGGGGTCATTGCATGCTTTGGTGTGGCTATCTAATACCTACGTTTAAAGTGGTGAAAGATTCCAGTTTTCTTGAACACCTAATGTGTTGAAATTTCTACAAGCTTCAAGCCTTTCAAAAAGTACTCTCTCTCTCTCTGTGTGTGTTTGTGTGTTTGTGTGTGTGTGTGTGTGTGTGTGTGTCTCTGTGTGTGTTTGTGTGTTTGTGTGTGTGTGTGTGTGTGTGTGTTGTTAAAGCAGCTGTTATATATATATATATATATATACACACACAGAGAGAGAGAGAGAGAGAGAGGGTATAGAAAAGAATCACCCTCTTTAAAATAATCACATTTTGTTGCTTTGCAGCCTGAAATGAAGACGTCACACAGTTTTTGTTTTATCCAGCTGTATTTACTCAGTGCAACTTATAACATCCAAGTGAAAGATAAAACACCAACATGTCAGAAAATAAATAAAAAACAGAATCACTGAGTTGGAAAAAGGATCAGCTCCTCCTAAAAATGACTTGTAAACTCAATCAGGTGTAACTGATCACCTTCTCAATGACACACAAAGCCATCTGACTTTCACCTGTGATCAGCTCATTTTGATCAGCTCAGCATGAAAAGAGCTTTCCTGGAGCATTTCAGTCCTTGCTAGAGCAACTGAAGCAAACGTTCAACTCTGGGTGGCAAGGCACTGACTACGTTTACATGGACATCAGTAATCTAATTATTTACCTTATTCTAAATAAGCCTCTGTTTACATGGTAGATTCTTAATCAGAGTATTTTCTTAATTGTATTAAAATCGGAGTACTGTTGTCCATGTAAACGTACTGAATGAGTATTCCTATTTTAGTCACATTATTGAAGTGCAGTAATACATGTACACACCTTAATCACATTATTACCGTTGTGTAGGATGTTTCGCCGCATTTTGCGACAGGATACACACATGGCAGTGCTCAACCGTTTGACGGCAAACAAAAGAACGGCTTCAACACCGCCGTCGTCTGTTTGCATGTATAGCATGACAAATAACTAACTGCACTTGAAGCGTTCAGTAAATTAAAAATGAAACACCCAAAACTGTATATGGCATCATAACGAAGACGAACTATATGTTTTTACGTGAAATTCTGAAGGGGACGTCAGATGGCGTCACGTGGTGACGTAATGACGTAATGACGTAATGACGTGTGCCATTAATCGATCTATGTACTATAACATGTCAAACCTTAATCGTAATATTGTCTTAAATAATTAGATTACTGATGTCCATGTAAACGTAGTTGTGACAAGAGGGCGGGGCCGAGAGCCGTGGGAACGGAGCGAGGCCGGTGGACGAGAGGGGACGAGTGTTGGACGAGAGGGGACCAGGCCTGGATTTTATTTTGTGTTTTGTGAGCGGCAGCCCCTCGCGGACGACTGTCGCGCACAAACAAAACCAAAACACAAAATAAACTCCAGGCCTGGTCCTCTCTCCTCCAACACTGTAGTCACTCCTCCTTTATCCTTCCGGAGCTCCTCCGTCGAGAGGAGACCGAGAGCTACAGCAACTCCGAAGCAGCTGCAGGAGTTTATGACAAAGAGTGTTCATTGTGTGCATGTGACAACAATATCATAAATCCTCCACAAATGTGGATTGTATGAGAGGGTTGAAGAAAAAAGCCACTCCTCAAGAAAGGCCACATGCAGTCAGACTGAGCTTATGGAGGTGGTGATGTCCTGTTATGGGCTGTTTCTCTGCAGCAGGGACTGGAGCACTTGTCAGGATAGAAGGAAACATGGATGGGGCAAAATACCATCAATAAGGAAGTTGTCAATGGGAAGAAGATTTAACTTCCAACATGACACTGACCCAAAGCACACAGAAAAATGTCCTTGCATGGCCGAGTCAGAGCCCAGACTTAAACCCCATTGAAAAACTGTGTAGTGATTTGAAGACTGCAGTCTACAAACAGTCACCATCAAATTTAACTGAACTTGAGCAGTTCTGCAAAGAAGAGTGAGCAAATATTATAAGTCTAGATGTGCAAAGTTAGTAGAGACAAATCCCAACAGACTAAAGGCTGTAATTACAGCAAAAGGTGGCTCAACAAAATACTGACACAAGGGGGTGATCCTTTTTTTATTTATTTTTTTAATTATTTTTTTCTGACATGTTGGTGTTATATCTCTTACTTGGATGTTATAAGTTGCACTGAGTAAATACAGCTGGATAAAACAAAAACTGTGTCTTCATAGCTCATAGGACCTCTCAAATTCCTCAGATAACCTCACGGGTCATCCCATGATTTGGTTGCCCTCCCTCCCCTACCGAGTTATGGGGGATGAGATATTATCAGCTAGCATGACTCTCTAGGGCAGTATTTACAGGCAGAAGTAAAGCTTCAGTCTTAAAATATCAAATACTGGCATACAGGGATGATTCTTAATCTTTTCACATTTCTGAATGACGCTTTGATGATCAGACATAATAAATTGTAAGACTTTCATATCTTGGCCTGAGTGTAGATTTACAAGATCTCATATCAATTTGCTTGTTATTTTAGAATTTTTCTATGACTTCCTAGCTGGAAGTTTTATATTAAAAATTCACAAAACTCTTATAAGCAAGTTTTACTACTAAGTTCCTAATATAAGAGTAAGGAGTAAGGTGGGGTTGACTTCGTTGATGATCACTTATTTGACTATATGAAATACAAACACTTGATAATACATAACCACCAAAGAAAGGACAAAGGAAGGCAAACTGGATGCAAAATCAACTGTTGCTACTTACACAAATGATGTAAGAAAGAAGGCACATAAGTAAAGGGAAATTTGGTATGATTTAAAAACAAAATAGGAAGCATGGAAACATGTTTTCAAGGCAAGGCAAGTTTATTTATATAGCACATTTCATACACAATGGTAATTCAAAGTATGTTTTCCTTGTTTTCAAATCAGAGTGTTTCCTATAAATTCACAGACTTTAAACGACAAACATCTGCCACAGTTTTTTTCTATATTATTCAGTGTTATCTGTTTCTACAATTCTCAGATGTTCATGATACTTTATTATGAATACACTATGAAATTAACATATACAGTATTAGCCAAAATATTGATTTGCCACAGGTGGAGACTCTGCACCAAAGTTTATGTTGGTGTAGTAAGCCCTATATGCCGGTCCGTCTAGAGCAGGGGTTTTCAACCTGTGGGGCGCCAGCACCTGTCAAGGGGTTTTCCCACAGAATTGGGCTACTTTAACACTTGCCGCGTTTTGTAGTTTTGGGCTAGTTTTGAGTAGCAATTAGGCGGGTGTTGTTGTGAAAACCTGGCAACCCTGGTCACGCTTATTGACAGTGTAA